CATAACTTAAGGATTAAGAACATAAAAGAAGAAGTAGGGACACAAACAAGTGAACTACAAAAGCTACTCACAGAAATAATCCAGGAGAATTTTCCTAATTTAGCAAAAGGTAAAGATACTCAGATGTATGAGGCATACAGGACCCCAGCTACCTACAACCCTAACAGAGAAACACCCAGACATATAATAATAAAAATTCCAGAAATTCAATACAAGAACAGAATATTAAAAGCTGTCAGAGACAAGAAACAGACCACTTACAAGGGAACACCCATCAGCATTACAGCAGATTTCTCTGCACAAACCATCAAATCATGAAGAGCATGGGGGGAAATAATTCAAGCTTTGAAAGATAATAATCTCCAGCCAAGATTGAGATATCCTGCACAACTGTCCCTGGAAATTGATGGAAAAACAAGGTGCTTCCAGGATAAAGAGGAACTGGGGGAATTTGCAACCACCAATTCAACCCTACAGAAAGTATTGCAGGATATTCTAAAAAAAGAAAAATACAAAGAACCCAGAAATAGTGGCGGGGAGGCCACAACGAATGGAGCAGAGAACAAAATGAAGAAGACAAACTGACAGCTACTGACAGAAAAAGAGCTCAACAGAAATGAGACAGAGAAGATTGGATGATAGGAACAGCTATTTTGGAGAAAATGACATCTTAATAGGTAATACTGATTTAGTATCATCTTGTTTTGAAGTCTCATCTAGCTTTTGTTCTTCTGTCTCCAATTGTCTAAACAGGTTGTATCTTATTGGATTTTATTATGTACGATAGTATAAGCAAAAACCTTTTAAAGACAAGGAGATTATACAGAAACCATTGTTCATTTTCTGTTAGTCGATTCTAAATACTCTATAATGCTGTCATTCTCTTAAATCGTTTTACATTGTTTCGATATACTTAATGCTACAGTATACGAAGTTGTACTCAAGGACTTCAAGGAAAGAGTCAATATGGTAATTACTTTTGGGTCGGAATTATCTGGTGGTGAAACACTATTCTGCTTAAATGGTTATGTTTTGATCTGCGCTGTTTCGCTGTTATGCCCTCTTTTTTCTCAATCTCCACTCCATTATTTACTTTTTTATTTTTATCCGTTTAATTAAAGGGAAAAAATAGCAGGATATAATATAGTAACCCACTTTGACTTTCTATTATCTCGATTTGAAGCCCTGTATTACTCTCACCATCTTGTTTTTGACTGATGTTCCCCTATTCTGTTTTGCTGGATAGTATCAGGGTCGAAAGTTTAGGCATCAGCTGTGAAGATAATGAGATTCATTATAACGCCCATTCTCGTTGACTTTTATCTACTTTTGAAGACCTACAATGTCTCCAATGTTTTGGTTTTGTCGGTTTTGTTCTTTACTGTTTTGTTCAATTGTATTATAACTAATCATATAGGCAATTCTATTAGAGATAGCGGGAGGCATTATGGTAACCATTGTTGATCACCTTGTATTATGTTTTTATATTATCTATTATGTCCACCCTTTTGACTTGACCGATTCTGTTCTGTTATGTCTCATTTGGTTTTACTCTCTTCCAAAAAAGCAATAAGAACCGTGGGAGCAATGAAACCCAAAACGTGTAATAGTCATTGTACAAAAGAGAGGAAAAGAAAGTGCTCTAAATGATATAACTGCATGTATATTTAAGTGTATAAGATAGAAAATGATATCACAGAGTTTTATTGGATCATTGAACAGAACTGTTTGCAGTATCATTGTTGGAATGTCCACTCTACAAGCTTTAATTTTGTGACTTGAACAATTATTTCTAAGATAGCAATATGTAATCCATTAACTAATGATTTCCTACTGTTCATTTTTTTCTTCTGTAAATCTGTATAACTTGTACCCTTTCACTGTTTTTTTTTCTTTTTTACTTAAATAAAAAAAATTCAAAAAAAATATTTAAAATGATGCAGTATCTTCCCATAGGGAAGAGAAAAATTTTGCCATTTTAAAACTCTTGCTGATTCTTGTCTGCAGTGGCCAGCAGGCTCTCACTGACTCAATTTCTGCAGGGTCCTAGACCCTACTTGGAGCTAATGCTTCCTGGCTAGATCCATTTGTTTCTGTTAACAAAATGTAGGTAATTTAGAAACATATGACTAACAGCCTGAGCAGAACAAATTAGGTGTTTAAAACGTAAGTAACTGAGTATACAAAAGCAGGACCATGCTCATTCTTAGGGGAGAAAAGGATTTCTGTCTCTATTGCCTTAAAGAAGTTACCAAAACTTCTTCTATTAGAGTAAACAGCAAGAGATATTTTTCCCAAATTGCTTCATTGTGCTTAGGTAAAGAGGCATCGAATGGCTCAACTGAGTGGCAAAGGGAACCAAAGGGCTAGGTAGAGCCATCAAGTAGTAGCCAAATGCCTTTCTCCTTAATGAGTTAATGGGCCCCAGTATAGAGACAAAAAGCCCTCAGCCGGCCCTTCCCTTCTTCTGTTTTTGTGAAAGGTATCAGCATCATTTTAGGTTTAGACACAGATGCCTCTCTAGTCAGTACTGGAGTATTTCTACTCACTAGGGGCTCACAAGGGGCTTTTGGGTCTCCTCCTTCCACATGGGACATCATTTTAAGGAACCAAGACCTAATTGTTCCTTTCTATGTAGGCCCCAAGATGACTCAGTGGAAAACATCTTGGACCTTGCCATGTGGGTTTCATCGACTTCATCATTAGGCCATATCCTTGGGTGGGAAAGATTGGATTCTGACAGTTTAAAACAGAAACAGCTTATCTACTACTGCAATAAAGTTTTCTTTTTTAAAAACTATTTTATTTTTCAAGGTTTTCATTTGTATGAACTAGCAAATGATAAGAATGGGTATAGGATGGTACTTCAGATTATAAGACTAGTCTTTAGTTATACTTCTACTTAAAACAGAGGTGAAAAGAAATGCCTTACACTGAAGCTTTTGTGACCCTTTGCTACAAGGGAAGCTCACAAACTATGCCATTTACAATGGCCCTGAGAAAGCAGCTGACCCTTTCCTGGAAACCTCACCTGTCTTTCACAGAGATGTAAGTCCCTCTGACCTGTTCGATAATACTGGGAGGTCTATTCAGCCTCCTCCTGGCAGTCCCCAGGCCAGTAAATCAGGCCCTCTTTTCAGTTGCAGATGTCCACCAGTACAAAGAATGACCAGACCACCTATCAGAAAGACAGAGAATCCTACAAGAGGCTAGAACTAGGCAGTGAGCAATATGCCTTACAAGGGGAAGGAAACCATCCTAGAGAAGCTGTTCTTCCTTCAACAGAACCAAACTAAGACATGTTGGCATATGCCTGTAATCCTAGCACTTGCAAAGCTGAGGCAGGAAGATAGCCAGGAGTTTGAAGTCAGCCTGGGCTGTATAGGTGAGTTCAAAGAAGTCTTCACTGTACAGTGAGAGACTGTCTCAAAAAACAAAACAAGCAATGAAAAATACTAGTAATGGAAAAAAATAATGTTTGATGTGCTGGCTGCTTTTACCATGGAGATGAAAATGTGCATCAGTATATTTCATAAATATACTAATATAGATCAATCTTCCACAGAGGGAGACACATCAGTGGGATACTATTTCATTTGTCAACTAGCCCCAGATATTTGGTGTAAACTACAAAAATTCCAGATGGGCCCACAGACAACCCAATTGCCAGGAACAATCTTTTCTGTGTTCAAAAATTTGAATCCAGAGGAAGGACAAAAGAGAAAGACTAAGATTATAGCTGTCATAATTGAGCAATACTTAAAATTCATCCACATCATCTAAGGGAAATTCCAGGGACAACTGGGGAGTTTCTGTTTCAAGTGCAAAAGGACACTGGACTCTGGACACAAAATTACACCAAGCCTCTCTCTAATGCTGCTCCAAATGTAAAGAAGCTAATGTGCCTGACTCATGGCATTGGAGCTGTGACTGTCCCTGCTCCCAAAGAGGGGCTATGCCAGTCAAAAGCCTGATTTCCTAGTCTGAGGAGGCCCAGGAGAGGCTGCAACAGCTCTCTTCATGGATATCACCATCCCCTATGAGGAATTCTGGGTACCCCTTGATATCATGGTTGAGCCAATTCATTTATTTCATTCTTTTTTTACTTACTTCTCTAGAAAACCCTCTTCTTGATCTATAGCCATAGTTGGAGTTGAGGGGGCCCCTAGTTGGAGATTCTTTTTCCTGCTCTGATGTGTCACTTTGAAGGTCAGATGTTTAACTATGAGTTTTTAATTGTCCCATGGTGTCCTACTCCATTGAGGGCAACTCTCAAATAGCCTCCCATATAACATCTCAAATAGGCTCAAACATAGCCCAGTTTGGGAGATGTTATAAACCCTCATGAATGCCATAGGCACTAATCCAATCTGGGACTCAGACATCTCTCGGCTAAGTTTTGCCAGAGCAAAACTGTAGGGTCTGGTTGGCTCTCTCTACCTTTAGAGAGGATTGAGGCCACCAGGAGAAATGCAAATGGCAAATTCTTAGAGCTTTTACTTCCCTGACTTACTTAACAGGTAAAAGAAGGCCCACTGTTACTCTGGAGGGAGTAGGGTAATCCAAATTGAGAATGATTTCTTTAATAAGTAACTTGACTACCTCAGTGCTTTTTCTGAATGGGTAAGGCTTTAATCTAGCCTATATAGGTGTCAATTAGGGCTAACAGCTGTTTAAATCTTCCAAATGGAATTTTTTGAGGAAAGTCTAATTGCCAGTCCTCCTCAAGGTATGTCCCTTTATTTTGTTTAAGTTCTAACAAAGAAAGTGGTTTGAGCTTGTCTGAGATATTGTACGCACAGAGGGGAAAGCTTTGAGGATCTGTCAGGTGGTTGCCACTAGCATGAAAGTTGCTTAACTCAGAATCTTAAGGCCAGCCAGGGAAACACAGCAAGAAACCACCTAAAAAAATTATATGGCTTATGGTAAAAAAAAAAAAGGGGGGGATTAAACAAAACACTCAAATCTTTATCAAGCACGTATGAGAAAAGACAGAAACCTAGTTTAAAAATTAGCTTTTATACACATTAAATGGGTAAAACACCGAAATGCTGTATCTATGAAGACATCTGTATATATTGTGATTGTGTATCTGTCCATGACTTGATTGTGGTATTTCCTGTATTCACCTGTTTCCTGCACACAATATTGCACATAAGTAAACTGAAGTTCACATTATGCTGATTTTTCTCTATTTGTCACGTTGGCATAAGTTTGCATTTTTAACACAATATGTTGCATTTCCTAGGCCATGTCCAAGTGAGGCTCAGGGGCTTTTTCAGAGATGAACTTCAAATGCACTCATCCCCAAAATGGGTATATCAGGTTGGAGAATCAACTGGTGTCTACAGGTCAGATACTAGATTCTGATGACAGCTCTTCTAGAAGCCAATAGCTCCACTTCAAAGGGGGCCTACACAGTAGCTAGGTCATAATCCCAAATCCTACACCCTAAAGCAAATCTCCAGTAAGAAAACCATCAGGTCTAGAAACTTGTTTTTTCTTATATTTCCAAAGAATTCAGGCAGATAAAACAAACTCATGCCAAATCATGGGCCAAGCACTGCTAGCTATGATAGAGGATTTGGTTCTGCTAAATTTGTCTACAGCTCCTCATCAATGGAATAGTACCTTCTGGCATATGTAACACAGAACATTGCAAGCTTGAGACACCCTACTATAATTCAGATGCAAACTCAATAGAGATTGATATAGCCCAAAGGCCCCATCCATAGCGTCATTCTGTTCCCAACCACAATGTTCGTTGGAATCACGCCAGCTTTTCAGGTGCTTTGCTTCCTACAGGAACACAGAAGCTAAATGTCTACTCATGTCAGGCTGTATAGCTTTCAAAAGATCTTGCTACCTCCTGGTTTGGGCTATGAGGAAAAGAATCAAGGAAAATTTATTCCCTTTGGGTCCTTCTCCAAGGCCTGGGTACTTCCTGGCACAGGGAAGTGCTGGGCTCCATGGCTTTTCCTTTACAGCCCTCTGCAGACTGCAGCTCTGCCCTACAACCCTTGGCATTTTTATCACAGCTGTGTTGCCCTGACGGATGAGTTATTACGGTTACTAGAGTTCCCAAATCTATTACAGTTGTACATGATTAAGACTCTTCCTTCCTTCCAAATCCCCTGGCATATTCGGACATATGTGTAGGGCATTCTAGCCCCTTAATTATAGAGACATGTCAGTCACAACTCAAAGCAGCTGATGTTGGGAAAGATGGACAGTGAGGTATCAGCTATGAATAAGAGTATTTCTGTACCAGCAAGACACATCTACTTTTATGGCTGAACAGTGCCATAGATGCTTGGCCCACCCACAAGCTTCCAGGACCCCTTAACTCTTCCTCCTTATCCCACAGGAAGAGAACAAATAACAAGTTGCCTGTTTTAGCACTGCTTCTCTGTACTCACTCAGCAATCACATTCCCTATATTGAGGTTTCTAATCAATGAACACAACACACTTCTTTTATTTAGGTCTCCTTTGATGATCGTTTTGTAATTTTCAGAATAAAATGCTGGGTTTGTCATGCTGATACCTTAGTACTTCCTGTCATGGAGCAACTGTAAAGGAGATTGTGAATTTGTATTCACTTATTCCTTGTTATTATACAAGAAATATATTGTGTCCTTTATCTTTTTGTATTTGCTTATTCTGTAAGATACAATGTCATCTGTAAGTAGTAAACACTTTACTTCCTAATCTATATAATTTTAATTACTTTTTGGGGGGTGCCTTGCCAAAATTTCCAATATTACTTTCTTTCCTTTTTGGTACCAAGAATCAAACTCAGGACCTCATGCCTGCCAGGCAGCCACTGTGCCAGTGAGATATATCCCTGGCCCTCCAATATTGTTGAATCAGAGTTACATAAATAACAACTTTACCTTATTCCTGATTTTAAGGGGAAAGCATTTACTCTTTCAACATTAAATATGATAGCTATGTGAATATTTGAATCAAGTTAAAGAAGTTTGCTTTCTATTCAATTGCTGATTGTTTCTTTCAACCACAAATGGGTATCTGACTTGATCAAACAGGTTTTCTGCATACAGTGATATTTTTTAGACTACTGATGTGGTGAATTACAGACAGGTTTTTACTTTACAAATATATTTTTAATGTTAAATCAGTCTTGCCTACCTGGAATCAATGGTTAAAGGGGTAAAAAAAAAAAATATATATATATATATATATATATATATATGCTCATGTGGTGGGCCACAGCTTTGATTCCAGAACTCTGGAGGCTGAGGCAGGATAGGTACAGGTTTGAGGCCAGCCTGGGGCTACCTACTCAGGGCCAGCTCAAAAGTTCTCCCCTCCAAAAAAGTGAAGAGGAATGAAAAACAAAACGAAACAAAAAATAAATGTAATGATAGTTCCCATTTAACCACTCTGGTATTTTTTCAATTCTTAGTTGTGCTAAAGTTTTACTGTTTTTTACAACTTAAAAAAAAAAAAAGCTTTTACTTCTAAAATGTGGCTTAATCACACCCAAAATGTGCTAAACTGGTTTTGAAATTGATCCTGCAACATCAAACAATCAAAGGATGAGCAGTCAAGGATTCCAGTCCTGGGCACCAAGAGGTCAGTCCTTGGACAACTTAATCTACAAAGCTTTTATCTGTTTTTTGTTTTTTATTTCCAGTGGGTTGTGCTGTGACGCTCTGTATGACAGAGAGGCCTAACTTTGAGGAGTGGCAGCTCACATCCTCTGCTTTTATGGGTTTAATTATATGGCCTGGCTTGGTGACCACCTTGGGGGTGGTGAGCTTTTGGAAGGCCCTCCGGGTGTTCCATGAAGACCCTATAGGAGTCTGAATGGTCCTTTCAAATTGTTGATGATGAGTGAATGGATACGGAAGCACCTGTACTTGATGAGCTGCTGCATGGATGTTGCGCTTCTCACTGACAATTACATTTGGCAAATCCTTGTCTTTTCTTGGAGGACCTTCAGGGGCTTTAATGAGGAACCGGCGTCCTTTCTTGGCACTGGGCTTCAGACCTGCACCTCCCCACTTGCCCCAGCCTGGCAGCATCAGGTCCACAGCCTTTGGCTTACTTGCCTTCATAGCCTCTCTCTTCTCTTTCAAAAAATCGCTGATGACATCATCTCCAGAAAAAGCTTCCTTTATCATCTGCTTTAGATTTTGCTTCTCTTCATCTTCCAACTCCTCTATTGCTGTGGGAATGGCCAAAGATTTCACGGAAGGAGGTTCTGTAGTTAGAAGATTCTGGAGATCAATCATTTGCTCCTTTTTCTTCCCCTTAGGGGAATCAGTCTGGTTATTTGGGTTTCTCTTCATTTGCTTCCATTTTAACAAAGGTCTAGGAAGCTCCTTATTTTGAAAATATTCTTCTTTGCCCAGACCTTCTAGTTCTTCCAGAATTTGCACTCTCTCTGGCCTCTGCAACAACAGAGATTCCTCTTCTTCTGGGATACATTCCTCTCTCTGCACCTGGAGAACAGTCCCTGCTGGACTCACTGTTTGCTTGCTGGAGTGACGGTTTTCTAGTTTCTGATTCAATGCCTTCAATTTGGCCAGTATGTCCTGGGTGCTAGAATCTTTTGTTTCTTGGCAGCCCACTGACTCAGTGTCACGGTTGAGCTGAAATCTTTCTCTAAGGGATCGACTTTCCCCAAATCCTTTCAACAAAATTTCTTCCTCTGCTGCTGGTCTTTCATCTTCCTCAGTTTTAGGAAACTTTGGGATGACAGGCTCAGGCTGTTGTTCAGGGTCTGGCTGGATTTCACTCTCTTTTGTATCACTGTTACAACCCCTAAGCAGCCAAGGATTTGGTCCATCTGTACACATCTGTACCTCATTCAGTACATCAGGGACAAGAGATTCTTCCTCTTTGGTACCCCTCTTCTCTTCTTCACTCTCTGAGATTATCTGGAGTTTGTGTGTCAGTTCTTTGTTCTTAGCCAATTGTTCTTGCACAGCTTGGCGAGCTTCCAAGTCATATTTGGCCATAACCATCTTTGACTTGGCCCATTTCCCACTGTTCTGGTGCTTCAGGCTCATTCGCTCCATCACTCTGGCCTTTTCCATTTTTTGCAGTTCATCCAATGCAGCAGTAGGATTTACCTTCCACAGATGATCAAAGTCTTTCAGGGCTTTCCTGGCCTTTTCTTTCTTCATGTTTCTGTGAAACATTTTACTTTTGATTTTCTTCTCTCTTTTTGCTCTGGCTTCATAATAGGACTGCAAAACCCGGGCCCTCTGAAGCTCTGCTCGGTGCATCTTGGCCTCTTCCAGGCTCATAGCTTTGAGAGCAGCCTTTTCCATGGGAGCCAATAAAGGATCTGTCACTGGCTGCCTGTTTTTATGAAGGAGGTTAAAGATTTCCTGCTCCAGGGGGGTTCTTGCCTTCCAACCACTGAGGACAAGTTCAATGGGAACAAAGGCTGGCTGTTTCTTCTCCAAGGGAAATACCAGCTGCTCTGCTTGCCAGTTCCTGAGAACAATAGGGTCCCACTTGGAGAGGGTTTGTGATGTCTTATTGAATGCTATTTCTCTGTGGATCTGTTTAACTTCTTCTTTGTTAAGGGGTAATTCCATAGTCTTTTTGGATTTAACTTTATTCAGTTGCTTTTTCACAGCAGCCAATGCAGATGAAGTTCTAACAGGCTCAAGAAGATCGGAAAGGACCAGCTTTTCTCCTGATCCTTCAGAACTCATGTTGAATTCTGAGACCTGTAAACTAGCCTCAGACCGCTCAGTCCATTTCCATCTATTCTTTTCATCGAGACAACTGATGGCTTTCAGAAGCTTTTGATGTTTTCTCTCTCCATCACTGTCCCCCTCATCTTCACTAGCACTCAAGGGATAGCTATTTGGTAAATCCACAAGTTCTTCCTGCTGGCTTAAAGTCAAGAGACCCTCTATAGTTTGGAGAGCATTCATCTTGGCAGCCTGCATCAACTACACACATCAAAAGTGGAAGGCAAAGCTTTTTTGTTTTTGAGAAACCAGAGTTTCATTTCATGGATTTTTCTCCATTAGTTTTCAGTTTCACTGTTCTTGCTTTTGATCTTGTCTTAGTCCATTTTCAATTTCTGTAACAGAACATCCAAGAGTAAGTAATTGTAAGAGACAAAAAAAAAAAAAAAGGCCAGAGATTTAGCTCAGTGGCATAAGTGCCTGCCTGTGAGGTCATGAATTTGATCTTCCCCAGCACAAAAAAAAAAAAAAAAACTCAAAAACAAAAACAAAAACATACATACACACAAACACCAAAAAAATAAAGAGGTTTGTTTTGCCTCATGGTTCTACCCCAGTGTCTGTGTAGCTTTTGGTGAGGGCTACATTTCTATATGTGTGGAACAGCACAAAGGGAAATAGGTACATGCAGAAAAGAGAATCAAAGAGGCATTGAACTTGATCCACTTTGTAGCAATCCACTCTTGAAAGAAAAATTGACACCTACAAGAAATGTAATACATTAATAAGTGTAGACTTCGAGAAACTCTTAAACGCCCTACCACCTCTCAACAATTACATTGAGAACCATAATTTAACATAAAGTTTGGGTGAGAATAAGTCATTCTGGAACCATAGCAAAATTTTATCATTTTCCATGTCTAGTTACTTAGAGTGTATTTTGTTCTTACTTTGCTTAAGTGTCTTGAGGTAGTAACTTAGAAAGCTGATGTCAGACCTTTCTTTTGTTTCTAGTACCAGCATTTACAGCTATACCTTTTTTTTGTTTTTGCAGCCCCAGGGATTGAACTCATGACCCTCACACTTGCCTGGCAGGTATTTATGCCACTGAGCTAAATCCCCAGCCCTAGCTATACTACAACACTGTTTTAGCTACATGTCACATATTTTTATATGCTACACTAACATTTTCCATCATTCTATATACTTTAACATTTTTCTTTGAGCTAGGTATGCCTCTACTCCCAGTGCTCAGGAGGCTGAGCCAGGACTGTCCCAAGTTAGAAGCCAGCCTGAGCTATGTAGTGAGCTCAAAGCCAGCCTAAAGTACACAGCAAGAGCCTGCTTTAAAAACATTTTCCTTTGAAACTATCTTTTATTCATAGGTTAGATAAATGTTCTTTCATAATTTCCTGTCATCTTTTACATTACAGTGGTATCTTGGTTCACAAACTTAATTTGTTCCACAATTTTTGTAGAGAATTGAATTGCTCACAAACAGAAACACTGTGAATTAAGGTATGACAATGAGTGTCCAGGGAAATTTGATTCAGTTCATGACCAGTATGGAACAAACTGTGTTTGTGGACCAAGATACCATTCCACTGGTTTCATGTTTTACTCCATTATGATCAGAGAAAATAACCCAAACACTTTTTACCATTTTAAATTTAATAAGGCTTATTTTATGACCTAGTATAGTCACTTGTCATATATTTTCCATTGGTACTTTAAAAATGTGTTCTGTTGGTTTGGCATGGGGTGTTCTACAATCTCAAAGAGATCTTAGCTGATTTATTTTTCACATATATTCTTTATTATTTCATGGTCCTAGTATTGTAAGTAGGATATGGATGTTTCCAGCTATAATTATTGAATAGTCTATTTCATCCTTTATTACTATTTTAAAGTTCTGTTTGATGTGTACATATTTAGGGTTATGTCATATTCTTGGTAGTAGAATGATCCTTTTTATCATTATGCAATATTTTTCTTTCTAGTAATGCTCTGAAATCCATTTTATCTATTTATTTATGAACTATTAATGCAGTCACTCCTGCTTTTAATATTTGTATTGCACATGATCATTTCTATAGATGCAGAAAAAGCTTTTGATAAGGTCCAACACTCATTCATGATAAGAAACTTACAGAAAATTGGAACAGATGGTCTTTACCTCAATATGATAAAGGTCATCTATGACAAACCAACAGCCAGCATCATATTAAATAGCCAAAAACTGAAGGCCTTTACCTTAAAATCAGGCACAAGATAAGGATGTCCCTATCACTGCTCCTATTCAATATAGTACTGGAAATACTAGCCAGAGCAATTAAACAAAAGAGAGAAATAAAAGGGGTAAATAGGAAAAGAGGAAGTTAAATCATCACAGATGACATGATACTCTACATAGAACACCCCCAAAACTCCATTGAAAGACTCCTAGATATAATAAATAAATTCAGCTATGTAGCTGGATACAAAATCAATGCTCAAAAATCAATAGCATTTCTATACAATAACAACAAAATTTTGGAGAGAGAAATAAGAGAAGCCACACCCTTCACACTAACATCCAAAAAAAATGAAACACTTAGGAATTAATCTCACGAAAGAAGTAAAAGATCTATACAGGGAAAACTATAATACCCTGAAAAAGAAATTGAAGAAAATCTTAGAAAATGGAAAGATAGCCCTTGCTCATGGATAGAGAGAATAAATATTGTGAAAATGGCCATTCTCCCCAAACTGCTATACAGATTCAATGCAATCCCAATGAAAATACCATCAACATACCTCATAGACCTAGAGAAATCACTCCTAAAATTCATCTGGAACTAGAAGAGACCTAGAATAGCCAAGGCAATTCTAAGCAGCAAAGGCAAAGCAGGAGGCATCACAATCCCTGACTTGAAATTATACTACAAAGCTATTGTAATAAAATCAACATGGTACTGGAATAAAAATAGATCTGAAGACCAATAGAATAGACTAGAAGATACCACCACAACTACCAACACACTCAACCACCTTATCATTGATAAAGGCACCAAACATGTTCACTAGAAAAACGACAGTCTCTTTAATAAATAGTGCTGGAAAAACTGGCTCTCCATATGCTGAAAATTAAAACTAGACCCATGCTGATCACCATATACTAAACTAAAATCTAAATGGATCAAAGATCTGAATATTAAAACAGAAACACTAAATCTGTTGGAAGACAAAGTAGGTAAACATCTTGAAGACATAGGGGTAGGTAGAGAATTCATGAATAGGAATCAAACCGTACAGGAAATACTTCCCAGAATCAAGAACTGGGATCATATCTTCTTAAAAAGTTTCTGCATGTCAAAAGAAATCTCCAGCACAGTGAAAAGAAAACTCACAAACTGGGAAAAAATCTTAGTGAACTGTCCCTCAGACAAAGGACTTTTGTCTAAAACATGTAATTTTTAAAAAAATCAGACCCCTGAAACTCAAGGACCCAATCCAAAAGTGGGCATCTGAGATGAATACACAGTTCTCAGATGAAGCAATATAAATGGCAAATAAATACATGAAAAAATGTTCATCATCATTACTCATTAGAGAAATGCCAATTAAAACAACACTGAGATTCCATCTCACTCCAGAAAGAATGGCCAGGATCAAGAAAACTATCAACAATAAATGCTGGAGAGGATGTGGGGAACGCTCCTGCACTGTTGGTGGGAGTGCGGACTGGTGCAACCACTATGGAGGTCAGTCTGGAGATTCCTCAAAAATCTGGGATTGGAGGTCCCATTCCACCCCGCTATTCCATTTCTGGGCATATTCCCAGAACTGAAAGCATCATATCACAGTGATATATGTGCACCCATGTTTATAGCAGCACAATTTGTAATAACCAGATCTTGGAACCAATCTAAGTGTCCATCAACTGAGGAATGGATAAAAAAGGTGTGATATTTTTATACAATGGAGTACTACTCAGCTATAAAGAATGATCACACTGAGATATTTACTAATAAATGGGCGCAACTTGAGACCATACTCATAAGCACAATAAATCAAACTCACATATATAAATACTGTATAGTCTTCCTAATGTAAGAAATAGTAACAGTACATAAGGGTAATTAGTAACAGTACATTAGGGTAATCATGATTCCCCATTACATTGTTTTGAAGCCTTATAATGATCGCAGTTGTAATGTGTTTGTCCTGGTTTTTTGATTTTATTATCTGTGATGGTATGAACAGCTAATTTGAAGGAAACAAGTCATTATAATAGCCAGTACTGATATAATATCATCTTACTCTGAAGTCCTACCATGCTCTTGTTCTTCTGTTTCCATTGGCTCTATCATGTTGTACCTTATTGGATTATATTACGTGTGAAAGTACAAACAAATTTCCTATGGAAAATCAGATAATATCATAGTCATTGTTTGTTTTCTGTTATTTGATTCTGAAAACCCTGTAATACTCTCATCCTCTTGAATGTTTTTATACTATTTTGTTATGTTTGATACTATTGTATACGAAGTTATATTCAGCTATTTCAAAGAAAGAGACATCGTGGTAGTTACTGTTAGTTATGCATTGTCTTCTGGTGAAATACTGTTCTGCTTACATTGTTCTGTTCTGATCTGCTCTGTTATGTCCTGTTTTGACTTAATCTCTTTAAAATAAAAAAAATTGTATTGCATATTACTTTCCATTTCTTTAATTTTAACCTTAATTTTTTTCTGGTTGTGTCCCAATCACTTTCTTTATCCCTGAGACACAGTATCTGACACTCACAACTTGTATTTGTTTTGGCTCACAGTTACACTCCATGATCAGCTGGCTGCAAGGCAGGAATGGCCTACCAGCGAGGAATTGTGGAGGACAGCTGCTCACATCATAGCAGCCAGAGAACAGAGATGTGATAAACCTAGGAAGGAGATACATACACCCTTCTAGGTCATAAGTGATCCTCTTCTTCTCATCAGACACCATCTCCTAATAACAAGTCAGCTATATTGCTGGATAAGCTCTGCCACTAAGCACGTGAGGCCCTTAGGGGACCCTCCCCTCCCTTTTTTTTGTACCTTTGCAGTGCATGCAGTTTACAATCATTTTGGGGACTGGGTTCATTACATAATACATCTTGTTGCTGTTTTTTCAAAATCTCCTTCCCCTTCCTTCCTCTTCTAAATCCTTTCACCATTTTCATCCTTGTGGATATTATCTCATGTGTATGAGACACAATGTTTGTATTTGTTAAAGTTATTAGGTTCCTGTGTATGGCCTATCTTTATTCTACTTACTTCTCCTTCCCTTCCCCCTCTCCTCTCACCCACATTCTCTTGGGAAGAGATCTATTCCACTGTCCCCTCCTATCCATCCTTTACTGTGCTGTTTGTATTTTTCTTCACTCAAATGAGAACTACTATATGCACTTCAGCCTGTGTGTCTGGCTTATTTCCCTAACACTGCAGTTTCCAGGTGCACTCATTTTCCTACAATGTCTCAAATTTGTCCTTCTTTATAGTGGAGTAGTATTCCATCACATACCACATTTTCTTGATCTAATAGTCTGTTAATGGGTATATGAGCAGCTCCTAGGACTTAGTTATTATGAATTGTGTTGTTATAAACATTGATATGCATGTATGGCTATACTATGATGTCTTTAGCTCTTGGGGAAGATACCTAGAAGGGAGATAGCTTGGTCATATGTAATTTCTAATTTTAGTTCTCTGAAGAATTTCCAAACTGATTTCTATAATGGTTATACTCTCTGGGGGGACATTCTTTTTTTTTTTTTTTTTTTTTTTGTCTTTTTCCTTTTTATTGGTACCGGGGATTGAACTCACGACTGCCTGCTTTACAAGGCAGGTGCTTATGCCGCTGAGCTAAATCCCCAGCCCCTTGGGAGGACATTCTTAATGCAACCCATAAAAGGTTAGCAAGCTTTATGTTATCCAGGTGGCCTCTAACTTTTAACCTCAGCAATTCTCCAGTCAGTCTCCTGAGTTACTGGGACTATAGGGGTACACAGATGTGCCTAACTTGATTTAAAGTTAAGCTTCTTATAAACAGCCAAATTGGACCATTTTAATTATTTACAAGTCAAATTACTTAAATACTGGGTGACCAAAACTTGTAGGTTTGGGAGTCAATTTTTCTAAAAGAAAATATAAAAAATGATGTTTGAGTGTAGTTTGATTAATAAGAATCAACTGGTTAAAATGACACCAAATTGAGTGATCCTAGGGATAATCATTATGTAAACAAATATGCTGCCCAAGTGATGCTCCAGGTACACTAAATTCACTCTAAAAAGTAAAAAGAGCTGGGAATGTGGTTCAGTGTGAAGTACTTGGGTTCAATTCGCAGTATGACCCTTCCAATCAATTCTATCAATCTTTTCTCTTTTAACTGCTGTTTGGACCATTTTCATTTAAAATAATTATCAGTAAGGGCACAAACTTTTTTTAATCTAAGAAATTCATTAGAATATTCATTTATTCTTTTTTAAAAATTTTCACTTTCATTTTATTTTTATTTGCTTTGAAACAGGGTCTCACTTGGTAGTGCAGGCTGGCCTTGAACTATGTATCCCAGACTGGACTTTACTCATGGTGATCCTCCTGCCTCAGCCTCCCAAGTACTAGGATTACAGGTGTGTGTCACCACTCCCAGCATTTACTTCTCTTTTCATTTATTCTGATGTTCTGTGTTTTCTCAAGTTTTAAGACTTCTGTCATCATTACTTTATATTTCTCATTAACCTTTGGTTATTCTTTAAGTGCATGTTTGCTAGTAACAAACACTGCTTTCTGGTTCTTCTTTACCCATGCTTCAATTATTTTTTCCTTATGAAATGTTTACATCTCCTGGTTGTCACTGTTTCAGATCAGAAATTAATCTTTTAATTTATCTTGCCCTAGGTGTCTTCTGTCTCTGCCTTCAAGACTTTTTTCTTTATCTTTAGTCTTCAGAAGTTTAACTGATGTGCTTCCTTTGGCTTTATTTCCCTGGTTTCTTGAATATGTATGTCACACTTTCAGGATTTTATTTTTTGTTTTTGTTTTTGCCTGATTTGGGCAGTTTTCAGCAATTATTTCTTTAAATATTTTTCACTTCTACTCTCTTAAGACACTTCTTTAGGGAGTACAGTGTAAGCTTTATAGTTAACTGTCATTTTAATAGATCTTTGAAATATGGTTTTATAATTTGACCTTCTAAAAGTCCCCATTCTAAATGACCAAGCCTTCAACACATGGTCTTCAGGACACACACTCTAATCAGCCTACAAACTATTACACTTTTCAGCTCCAGAATATACTTTTAGCTCCTCTTTAATTTTTTTATTGATATTGTCTATTTGATCATACCAGTATATCATTCTCTTGGTTTGCTCCCATTTTTTTCTTTCTGGTTGCCTTCAACTCTTAAGTACATACATATAAGTTAGTCAATTTAATATCTTCATTTAATAAATCCAATTTTTGAGTGGGACATGATTTCTGTTTTTAATGTCATTTTTTGTTGATACTGGGTAATTTTTAATACTCCAATGTGATCTCTTTAAGAATCAGATTCTCCCACTTATCCATTGTTTGCCGTTTCTTGCTGAGGTCAGCAGTTACCAATTTGGCTAGTTACTTTCTCAAACTACAGTTAAACCCCCAACTTAGGAACATCCACATTACGAACTTTCATAGCTGTACTAAATAAGACTTTTGGCATTCTAAGGAATCTGATTCACAATTCTCTAGGAACAGAACTTGCTTGTAAGCTGGGGATTTATTGTAGCTTGCAGAAATTATACAGTCTTATGAACATCTGAGTTGAGAACTTTCACAGGTGTACTGTATAAGACTCACTGTTGGATTACAAATGAATCCAATTTACAAAAAATTCTCCCTGAATCAAAGCTGGAGATTTACTGACTTCTTTGTAGTGTGTTGTCACTGAACTTTCAGATCCTTTTCTTTAGTAGATATAGGGGTACCTCGGTTCATGAACTTAATTCATTCTATGATTTTGGTTCTGAACCAAACTGATCACAAACCAAGTAAAACTTCCCTAAGGTTCAATGTAAATAAGGGGCTGTTCTGGCCCCTACAAATGTCACAAACTGATCTTATAAGCCAAATCAAATTTTCTTATAAAGTTCAGTATAAATAAGGTTAATCCATTCTGAACATATGTATTTTTTGAACCACTAAAACATGAAGAAAAGTACAAAAGTACAATATGAAGAGAGGAAACACTAACCTTGCTTGAGGTGATTTCTGGCATAGAGGACAGGAAGGTGTGTGGGGGGTGTTATTGTTTGGATGGAGAGTAACCCTCCAGAAAGCCATTGAGGACATCTTCTTCACAGGTTTCCTCTCTTCTTTGTCTTTTAGCTGCAGGGTCCATTTGGACAAAATCTCTGCCTAATGGCACTTGTTTTCTCCTGTGCTGCATAATCGTCCAGAAATGAGAGACCACATAATCGTTCATCAGATTCAACACTCGGTTTGTTACATTTACGTTGGGGTGGTGCTTCTCAAAGAAATCCTGGCACTCATTCCATTTGTTCATAATGGATTTTATCATATCACTGCTAACCTCTTCCCTGTCTTCCTCTGTCTCCGTGGAATATTCCTCAACAATCACCTTTTGCTGCTCACTCTGCCCTGGTAATGCCTTTTCCTTCTTTGTGATGTAAGTTCTACTTGGCATTTTCTTCCAGAAAAGCCCTGTTTCATCACAGCTGAATACCTGCTGAGTGACATATCCTTCTGCCTGATTCATGAATTCTGTGAATTCTTTCTTGTAGGTTTCTGTAGCGGCCCTGTCAGAACTAGAAGCCTCAACACGTCTTATCACACTGTGGATGCCACTTCTCTTGCGGAATTTATCAAACCACCCTCTACTGGCTTTAAATGCATCACCTGTTGCACAAGTTGAAAGGTTTTCTTGCAGTAAATCGCTGTGCAATTTTCTGGCTTTTTCACAGATCATGGCGCCACTGACACTATCACCTGCCAGCTGTTTCTCATTCAACCACACTAACAAAAGTTTTTCCACCTCTTCCAGCACTTGTGACCTCTGCTTGGTTAATGTTGTTACTCCTTTTGCCACATCAGCTCTTTTAATGGCATCTTTATTCTTCAAAATAGTTGAGATTGTTGACTTCGCCACTTTGTACTCACAGGCCAGATCAGTCACACGAATACCACCCTCATGCTTTCGTATGATTTCCTTCTTCAATTCAATGGTTATTTTCTTCAGAATCTTCTTACCATTCTTGCTCTGTACATCATTACTGCTCAGCACTTTCTTTCTACCACAATACTTGCTCTGCACTTTCTTTGAAGCCATACTAGATTGAATAATACTGTACGGTACTGTATGTGCTGAAAAGCACACAAAAAAGTTTCACAGCAAGTGTGCACAGGTCTATCTGTGACTTTGATCTTGACTCCTGGAAGCCATGACCATGTGTCAGAACAAGGATATGGCCGAGTTTGCATTCATGCGGGGAAGATGGCTGCTGCTGTGTTCATCACCCGATGTGGAGTTCACAAATGGAAGCAAAACTTTGCCAAATACTTCTGTTCACAAACTCAACTGTTTGTGAACAGAAGCGTTCATTAACCAAGGTGTTACTGTATAAACTTCCTTAAATGCCTGAAACCAGAAAAAAAAATTTCAAGTCTCTGAAGAATGCCTCTGTAGTAGGACAGTCTTTCCACATTTACTGAGACTTCCTATAAGTGTTATCTTTAACTTTAGCCTTACTCTTACCCTTTTGCTTGTGCAAAGTTCAAAGAGCAGCCAGAGAGATATATCTAGTATTCTCTCAGGTTCTGGACATGCATCTTGCTAAGAGCACACATACTGTATTGCCCCAATTTACTTGGTATCTCTTCAACCTTTTTTTCTTTTTAGAACCTTCCTCCTTGCCTTGTCCTCTCCAGACATCTGGAGCTGTCTGCTGCTTAACATATACTGTTCCACATATCAATCCTTGCCCTAACCAGGTATAGGCATTATTTCCTTAAATGCTTTGGACAGACTCATCCTAGGAAGCCACTGGAGCCCAAAAGGGGAAAAACAAAATAAGCTTCTGTGCCAGTCTCTCAAGAAACCTTAGGAGAAGCCAACATACTGAATTACAGTTTTAAAAAGCAAAGTCTGTTTCCCTGCTGGCACCTGTAAGCTGCACCAGCAAAGCAGGTTGCTGTTGCCAGAGTCTCCACAACTGAGAGTGGGGATGGGAGTTTGGCAAATACAAATTCTACAAACTTAACCAAAATTCTTCATTAAGTACTCTCCTGCCTGTGTTTTTATATTACATTTCACAATTCCAAAACAGTTGATTCTGTTATTTTTTGCCATCTTAATGGCTGATTTAACAGAAGGACTGATTATTGAATTTCTCAGTCCACCCATTCCTTTAATCCCCACCAATCTTGATGAATTGGTACTCAAGTCCTTTTCATACCAAATAATGACATACTGTAATTTTCTTCACATAGCTATTCTTGACTTCTCATATAACCTAAAGCTAGTACAATGACATCTCAGTTCACAAACTTATTCCAAGATTGTGGTCATAAACTGAATTGGATGAGAACCAAATTGCTATTTTCCATAAAGTCAACTCTGAACTTAACCACTGAATTTGATTGCTTCTCATCCAATTCTGAGCATGACCAGAATCATGGAAAGAACTAAGTTCAACTGAGGTACCATTGTATTTTGTGTTTGGTTGCTGTCCTACGTGAAGTTCTATTTTCTATAGTACTATCACTGGCATGTAAGAAAGTTTATGTTACAAAAAACTACTAAGAGATAATACCCAGTATGTAAAGTTTGGTGCAAAACAAACTATTATAAATTCGTTTTTGGAACCAATGATCCTATTGTTGTAAAGATACCAGAGAGGCTGCCCATGGCATTTAATCTTGGTTGTCTGTAGAAAGTCAGAATATATAATTGTGTTCATTTGTATTTTTTCTAAAATTTGCTCCTCTTCTGATTTGTGGTCAATTGTTCACGACTGCCCATTATTTACCTACAGTCTAAGTTTGGCAGAGCATTAGTTGTGCTTCTTTCCTTGCCACTGGCCCTTGAACTTTGACCTTTCCCCAAATCCGAGAACCGCTGCCCTTGGGGAGATACACTTCCTGTCTGATTAATCCCACCAGGCCGCTTGCTCACCTCCCCGCTTTTCAGTTCCTCCCAAAATTTTGTTTTATTTTTCCCTATAAAAGAAAACCCTCTATTTGATTTTTAGATGCTTTTAAATCCTGAGTTGAGCATTTTTTCTATTGCAAGAGAGTTCTTGAATAGGTTTCTTTGCTTGGGACTTTTTTTTTTTTTTACACAATTTATTTATGTTTTTCACTTCCAGAAGAAAAGCTATTGTTCACTTTTTAAAATAGCATGATGTTGTTAGTATTTTAATAAATTTAATTTTCTAGTGTGTCGCCTTTTCGTTTATATTGGCGCGTGTGCGCGCGCCTCCTACACGTTCATAACTTACCTTGATTTGCATCGTCGCTCCCTCAGGTAGCTAGTGAACCGCAAGCTGTCCAAAACTCCCATCTTCCTGTGTATCAAGATGTCCAAGTGGGTTGGCAGCAGCAGTAGAGTTGGTAACACCCACTCTGAGCTGCAGCACACAAGGGGCGTTTGTTCAATCGCCAGCCTGAGGCAGCGACTTCATCACACGCCTCAACCCCCTGTCGCGCACGCACGACTCACGCGGGACATCTACTGCGCATGCGCGGCTCACGCAAGCCCTCGCCTGCGCACGCGCGGCTCACGCGAGCTGCGGTGTCAGAGGCTGAGGGCAAGACGGGGCATGCTGGGAGCAGTCAGTGCGCGCGTCGCGGCTGTGTGGCCACCGGAGGTGGTGGCGGAAGCCTGGCAAAGTGGGCGGCGGTCCTCTACGCGCTGCACTGGGGATAAAGGTGGTGTCTGCTGGTGGGGAGCCCGCGGCGGAGAAAGTGTCAGAGGGAGATTGAGCTCCAGTGAGAGTAGATTTCATTTTGGAAGCCAGCGTGAAATACCTGCCTCATGGGATCGCCCTGGCATCAGTGATGAACAGTGCCTGGCAGTGGTGGCCGCGGCTGGGCCCCAAACACCTTTGCTGCTTCCAGAGCGTGAGCACAGCCTCTCCCTTGTGGACCAAGATCAGAAGTTAGCAGACAAACCAGAAGACGGTTGCGGCGGCGTCCCTCTAAATGGTTAACCTTTCCAGATTACCAGTCAGTTTCGAGCCTGCACCACACTTGGCAGAAGTAAATTTCAGTGTGAAGCAATGATTTGAAGGATTGAATCTTACCGTGTTTCTTGAATTTCTTGGTATCTTCAGCACCCTTAGGACAGACAGCATAACTGATTTGAGGTAAAAAGGAGCAGGGCTTACATTTTCGTAGGCTCTAGTTTTCAGACGCTACATATATAGGTACTGTAGAAAAAAATGACTTACATTAAAGCACTGCCATCTCTTTTTCGTAGCTTTGGGTGAGTTCTCTAATTTGAAGGGTAAAACCACAAGAAATGAATGTTCAAAGCAACTTTTGGTGAAGACAGTGTTTCTTCATTTAGTTTGTTGTAATTTATTTCATCAGTTTACTCGCTTTTAAATTTTATTTGAGAATATGAAGTAATACATCAGGGTTTGCTTGTTTTTTTGGTTTTGTTTTGTTTTGTTTTGTTTTGTCCTTTCAAGACAGGTTCTTGCTATGCAGTTCAGGCTCGCCTTGAGCTCACTTTGTAGCCCAAGATGATCTCGAACTTGCAAAGATCCTCCTGCCTTAGCCTCCTCAGCACTAGGATTACAAGAGTGTACCACCAATACATTGTTTTAAAAATGAATAGAAAATAGTTATATTCACCTAGTAAAAACATTGCACATCCACATTCCACATGCCTCTCAGTCACAGATGGACACAAGTGCGTCTTTACATGTCCCTTCCTATGACTTTCCAGGGTAAATGATGTTCTCCCACAGAGAGGCATTTTACCAATGTGTTATGATTTAGGTCTTAAATGTCCCCTTTAAGCTCTTCTGTAGAAGGTTTGGTCCAATGCGATAGTGTTCAATGTTGGGAGAAAATTGTATCACAAGAACTCCAACCTCATCAATGTATTAATTTATTGATGAATTCATAACTTAATGGGCTCTGGAGTTGGTGAAAACATTAGGAGGTACAGCCTGGTGGCAGTAAGTAGGTCCCTGGGGTTATGTCCTTGAAGGGTGTATTTTCTCTCCCACCTCTTTTTCTTTTCTTCCTGGCCAAGACAAACAGCTTTGCTCTAGTGTGTGCTTCCTCCTAGGATATTCTACTTACGGCCCAATGCCAGATGGCTATGTAACCATGGAGGGAAACCTCTGAAACTGTGGGCCAAAATCAAATCTTAACTTCCCTGGGGTATTTTGTAACAGTGATGCAAACCTCGTTGACATAGTGGGTGATGTTTGTACTTTTTTAAGTGGATGAATCCAAAGTTGTAAGGAAGTTTATATCTCTAATGACTTCATTACTTTTTTCTACCCACATATTTCTTCAAAGATTTCTACATTTGTCAAAGATCTGCATCCGAAAATGGAGAAATCCAGTGAATTGTTGAAGTCATTTTTTACTTTGTTTTGCAGTGGATTTTATGAGGTTAATTATTCTTAAAATGGAAAAGTAGAAATAGATGTAAGGAAACAATATAACCCAGTGATTTAAAAACACAATGATTTTGCAACTTTAATGTACTACCTGGAAAGATTTTAAAACACAAAATAGGACCTGACATTTACATTTTAAGATTATAGGTAATGCTGATGTTGTAGTCTACCAGCCAGTAACATTGGAATAGCAGATCAGTAGCACTGTTACCAAATTTGGGTTGCAAATATTCTGACCCATGTGTTTCATGATTTTCATTGATCATAACAGTGAAGCTACCTGATTTCTTTTCTGTAAAAGAAATTACTGTAAAAACCTTTTGTTGTTTTTTAAATCGGTAATGAACAAACAGTCTTTTCATGCCAATCGTGAAATAAATGCCTGTAGATTCTGTTTGTTCTTCAGTCAAAAACAGCAGATAAGCCCAATGTGGTGCCTTGTAGTCCCAGGAAGTGGAGTGTAAGGGGTGGTGCTGGGGCAGGAGGATTACTGGGCTACAAAGTGAGTTCAAAGAGCCAGCCTAAACTCCATAGTGAGAAAACACACACACACACACACACACACACACACACACACACACACACAGAGAGGCAGAAAAAAAATCAGATAACACAAAGTTTTAGTTAATGATAGTTTTATTTGGAACCATATCACCAGAACCTATGTAGATGGCTTTCTGATATAATCTCTTTTGCTTTTTCTAAATAAAACTTGGAACATGACAGAATAAATGGACTGAATATCTCTAAAATAACTTCCCAAAAATTTTAGTCTTGGTTAGTGTATGGAATGTTAAGAGATTATTTTCTGGCAAATGTTTATGTACTTAATCAAAATTCAACTTATGCTTCATACAGAGTAAATTCTTCTCCATCACTGGCTGGAATTTGGCTGCAAAACTCAACAGTGATACATTGTTTATTGTGCCAAAATTATTCAACACAAAATTAATGTAAAGTGTACTAACCAGTGGCCTTTAGTATTGTACATAATCATAATTCCAGAGCATTGTCATCACCCCAAAAGGAAATCTCACATCCTTTAAAGTCACTCTCCATTAATCCTTGACTCCTGGCAAGCATTAATCTACATTCTGCCTCGATAGACATTTTACAAATTCTGGATATTACATATAAGTATCATACAGTTTGTGCTTTTTGGGTGTCTGAGTTCTTTCATGTTGTATAATGTTTTCAGCATTTATCTGTGTAGTGGTTTGCACCATTCCTTTTTATGGCTGAATAATGTTTCGTTATATGGATATACCTTACTTTGTCTACTTATGATTGACTTTTAGGCTGTTTATAACTTATGGCTATTGTGAATAGTATTTCAGTGAATATTTGTATGTAGTATAATTTTGCTTGAATGTCTATTTTTTTTTTTGTGGTACTGGGGATTGAACTCACGACCTTGTGCTTGCCAGGCAGGCGCTTATGCCGCTGAGCTAAACCCCCAGCCCTGAATGTCTATTTTTAATTCTCTTTGGAATACCTAGAAATGGAATTGCTGTGACATATATTTATTGTCTCTAACTTATTTAAGGAACTATCAAACTATTTTTCATGACAGTGCTTAAGTTTGTATTTGCACAGCAGTGAGTGCTCAAGTTTTCCTACATCCTAGACAGTGCTTGCTAGCATTTTAAAACTATAACCATTCTCGTGTGTGAATTTACATCTCATTGTAGTTTGTTTGTCCCTAATGGTACTGAACATCTTTTCACATAGTTTTTGACCATTTGTATGTTTTTTTGTGGAAGTATCTATTGAAGTCCCTTGTCTGTTTTTAAACTGGGTTGTTTAGTATAAGAGTACTTTCTATGTATCCATCCCTTGTCAGATACGATTGCCAAATATTTATTGTGTAAGTTGTCTCTTCAGTCTCCTGATAGCATCTTTTTGTTTTGAGGCAGTGTCTCGCTGTATAGTTTAGGCTGATCTTAAAATCATTGTGTAGTCTAGACTGGCCTCAATTTGCCAGGGATCTGCCTGTGTCAGCCTACTGGGATTAAAGGCATGTACCACCATGCCCATCTTGATAGCAGTTTTTGATTCACAGAAGGTTTTAATTTTGATTAATATGGTTTGTCTATATTTTCTTTTAGTGTCTTTGCTTTTAATGTCATATCTAAGAATACATCAACAAATCTAAGGTTGTGAAGGTTTACTTCTATGTTTTATTCAAAGGGTTTTATAGTTTTTACTCTTACATTTAGGCCTTTGATCTATTTTGAGTTAATCTTTGAGTGTAGTGTAAGACAATAATCCAACTCACTTTTCACATGTGGATATCTCAAAACCAGTTTTCTTCTTCCATTGGTCTTGACAATGTCACTAAGAATCATCTGACCAAAAAATCAAATCATTTGACCGTAGATGTATAGGTTTATTTCTGAACTCAGTTCTGGTTAATTGATCTAAATGTCTGTCTTCATACCAGTCCCATAGTTCCACACTGTTATGATCATTATAGCTTTGTAACAAACTTTGTTTTGTTTTTAGAAAAAGTCTCACTATGTAGTTCAGACATTGAGTTTACTGTGTATTCTAGGCTGGCCTCAAGTTTGCAGCAATCCTTCTGCCTCAGCCTCCTGAGTGCTGAGATTACAGGTGTGTACCACCCTCCCTGGCTATCTAGTGAGTTTTGAAGCCAGGAAGTACGACTTCTCTGTTTTGTTCATCCAAACTATTTTGACTGTTCAAGATCTCTTGTAATTCCACATGCATCTGAATGTCATGTCCACTTTTGTCCAAAAGACTACTAGATTTTTTTCTTGTTTGTTTTTTGAGACAGAGTCTTATTACATAGTTCAGATTTGTCTTGAACTCATGTGAAGGAGTACTGGATTTTGATAGACCCTTTTGGGAAGTATTGCTTTCTTTATCATATTAGTATTCATTAACACAGAATATTTTTCCACTTATTTAGGTCTTCAATTGCTTTAAATAAAATTTTGTAGTTTTCAGTATACAACTCTTGGGCCTCCTTGGTTAATTCTATTCTTAGGCATTTTGTTCTTTTTGATATTGTTCTAAGTATGATTTTTTTCTTAATATACATTTGGATTAATTTTTAGG